AAAATTTCTCCCTGATCTGCTTTACCTATTTCGGATTAGGACGAAACCTGACGAGTGTCCTTGGGGCATCAAATACTACCCTCTCATGTTTTTTGGGACCAATCCGACACCTTTCCAAATCCATCCAAAAATTAGGCTTATTAGATCAAAATGCTTCTATAGTCTACAAGTGTTTTGGTACCTACAAGGCTAGGTTGCGACTGGCTTCTCCTTTATTTTCATCGGGGATGCAAGTGTGCCGAAAAATGCCCTACAACACTCAGAAGGCCCAAAACCCCCCGAATACCACTTTTCAGCTCAATTGGACGCTTCTAGACCATTTTAGGGCCGACTTATCCAAAATGGGTGGATTTCACACTATTCCTACACTGCCACAATGAACCAGTTTCCATTTCTGAAAATTGTGCCATTTGATTTCGAGATTGCCTTGTGAAGGTCATAAATCTCTCATCTTGAGGCCAGCCAAGCTCAAATTTCAGTATGAGGTAGGTCTCATCAAGCCACACATTTTGATTAAGGCATGCCCCAAAACGGTGCTCGGGAAGAGAGAAATATTAGAGAGAAGTGGAACTCAAAAACTCATGTGTTGCAGAATTTTTAAAGAACATCCATCCATTCGAATGGCCATATCTCGAAGCCCCAACATCAGAAAGCCTCAAATACAGATCCTTGAGACCGTGACTCGAAGGGCTTCAATTTGAAGCAAGATTTGCCCAAAATGGAGGTCGAGAAGACACCTTATTTTGGCTCACAGGAAGACACATTTTCCGGTCTCCGGAATCCCATTTTTCAGCGACCTTCAAAATTACAAAAGTGATCAAATGAGCACCAAATCAAAGGGGTTTTCATTGCAAAACGATCACAATGACCTCCCCTTCGATTTGTGATGAAGAAAGTGACCAAAAACGCGACAAAGCAAGCTTAGATCGAAAGAAGAAAAATTCAAGAACATGGGTTTGGCCCGATTTTGGGATCAACCTCAACAAGTTCTATTCAAGCTTAATAATGGATATCAAATCGATCATCTCAACGAGCCCGACACTTTTATGGTGTTAGTTCACTCGGTAGCTTGTCAGAAAACACCAAAACAAGCCCCGAAACATAGGAGAGGCAAGAGGCCTCTTTTTAGGGATGGTCTTGTCATTTCCATGAAAGTTGGGAGGGGCAAAATGGTCATTTTTCTCCAAAATTGAAATTCACTTTTTAATTCAAAACAATGTATTTTTTATCAATTTAGCATTGTTTTGATCATCCACCCATGTTTGGGGGAGATCCTATATATTTTCACCACTTGCAACCCTAAGTTGAAGATAATATGAAAGTAAGGTCCATTTGCTTGAGTTTTCTTGTGTTGTGCTTTCATTCTTCACTTCAAGAGAGAGGAGAGAGAAACATTTAGCTTTGAGAGAATACCCTTGGGCTCCCAAACTTCCAAACTTCCTACTCCCTACACCCTAGACTATTCACCCAACCATACACTGTAGACCACTCAACCCTATCATAAACCCTAGACCACATAACCTATCATACATCCTAGACCACTTAATCCTACAATACATCCTAGACCTTACTTACCTTCATCATACACCTTGGCCCTCAATTAGCCAATCAACCATACTCCATAACCCACCTAAGTCCATTCAAATCTAACCTTGCACCCTAACCTCCTACCCAAGGACCCAAATCCCTTTCAAGAGTGCTTCAAGGACCGTCGGGGACACCTAGCCGCCGGGTTCGAGCCTTCAGCCCACTTGCTAGGTACCCAATCACTCTCTTTCCTCTTTTCTTCTTCTCCTCTTTTCTTCTTCTCCTCTTTTCTTTTTCTCCTCTCTTCTTTCTTCTTCTTTTCTTCTTCTTTCTCTCTCTTCCACTATTTCTTTCTCTCTCCTCTCTCTCTTCCCTTCCCCCAAGGAGCCAGGTGGCTGGGCCGCCCAGCTCCCTCTCCCTCTTTCCCTTCTCTTTTCTCTCTCCTCTCTCTCTTGTCCCTTCTCCCTCTCTCTCTCTCCCTTCTCTCTCTTCTCTCTCTCTTTACCCCTCTAAGAGAGCTAGACGGCTGGGCCACCCAGCTCCCCTCTTTCTCTCTCTTTCTTCTTTTTTTCTCTCTCCTCTCTCTTGGAGAGCCAAGCGGCTAGGCCGCCCAGCTCCCTCTTCTCCTCTCTTTCTCTCACTCTCTCTTTCTCCCTTCTCTCTCACCCCTTCAAGGAGGAAGGCAGCTGGGACACCTCTCCCACTCTTCTCTTACTCTCTCTCCCTTTATTTCCTCTCTCTTAAAGAGTGAGGCGGCTAGGCCACCCCACTCCCCCCTCACTCTCTCTCTCTCCTTTTCTCTCCCTCTACTCTCTCAAAATATCTCTCTCCCTCTCTTTACCCAAAAGTGAGGCAACTAGGCCGCCCCATCCTTCTCTCACTCTCTGTCTTTTTCTCTCTCTCCCCTACCCCCTCTTCTTTCTTTCTCTCTCTCTTGATCTTTCTCTTACCTCCTCTCCTCCTTATCTCTCTTTCTCTTATTCTTTCAACCTTCTTTATCTCCTTTTGCTTCCATTTTTAAACACATTCTATTGAGGGGGTAATGCGCATTAAACCGACTTTGGGCCTTTTTAGCACCTGGCACGTTAGTGTCTCTTGTCGTGCCTCCGGAGTTTTAGGTTTCGGCCTAATACCTTTTTGGGGTCAACCGGTAAAGCCTCTTGGGAGAGGTAATGGAGGAAGGCAACCAAATCATAGAGTGTCTTTCTCCCTCTTCTTCTCCTTTTTCTCCCCTTCCCTTCTTACTTCTCATACATTCTTTGAGGGGGTATGCACATTATGCCGACTTCGGGGCTTTTTTGCACCCGATACGTTAGTGTCTCTTGTCATGCCTCTGGGGTTTTAAGTTTCGACCTAATATTTTTTCTGGGTCAACCCATAAGGCCCCCTAGGGGAGGTGACGTCGGAATGCTGTAGAATTGAAGGGTGATCTTCTCCTTCTCTCTTTTTCTTCTTCTTCTTTACCTACTCTCTCATTCCCCATCCAAACCCAAGCTTAGCCTACTGAAGCCCCCTCTTATCCTAAAAAAACCATCACCAACCGGGATGAACCAAGGAGTAATCAACCCTGAATTTCATACACAAAGTGCGAAAGAATCAAGGTGTAGTGTGATTGGAGAAAGGGAGCGAGATCCAAACAGCACCGAGAAGGTCGTGGGGCTTTCGAATTGATCTAAGAGGGCTAGCCGAGCCCAAGTGTGTCCACAAACCCAACCGCGTTCGAGGTAGGGGCCTAAACCCCTTGCAGCACCAAAATCTCTCACTGTTGATACTTATCCACACGAGCGGTTTTCTGATTGAACGATCTTGAGCCGAGCCCCGTAAACGGGGCCCCGGGCCACAAAGCCACAAGATCGAGGCGCAACCAGTTGGCAAGCACGCAATGTACTTCCTGTCAAGAATCTTAATCCATCTTATTGAGCCCTAAAATCTATAGATTCTATAATTAAACATGATGGATTCTATAACCGTCACTACCTTCCATCACTTCAAACTAAAGATATTGGGGTCAACTGACAACTTATAATTTAAACTATATGCCTAAAAGTTATGCTTATTGCATATATCATAATTGATGTACAGAGACATTAGAATATCAAAAGAATCACTTGTGTTTTGTGCTCTAGCCATTTTGACACTTTGTGAATGCAAACATATAGAATAGTTCCTCTCGTACCAGTAGCATATGGTAATCTGAGACAAGAGTTCATGCAGAAAAAAGTTTAAGATCAAGGAAGTTTAAGATCAAGGACAATTCACAAGCCAATGAGGTCAAATGCAACTAAGACTCGATGGCTTAAATCCATTAATGAATTCAGTACTAAGAAAAGAATGTGGGGGAAAAAAAAAGGCTAGGTTAGCTAGGTTTGTTTTTATGCAGACAAATGTCAAGGGTTTAAACCCTCGCCAAACCCAAACAAACTTGTGGTGTCTAGTGCTAGGCTAAATAAAACTACACAAGAAGAGAAAATATTGCCTTGATTAAAGGTACCGCTACATAAATATGCCGAAAGGTGTAGTGGAAGTTAGTGTCTTTTACATGACATTTCTTTGGTCATATTTCGCATGATATTTTCACATTGTTCATTAATCAAGTCATAAATCCGTTGATTATTGTCTTGAAAAGGGATCCAGAGTTCCATTTGTAACCTCGCTGTAGACAAAGCAGGGGTAAAAATAGTAAGGACTTAAGAAAATAAGCCTCTGCAAGGACATTATATGGCCATGATTTCTAAACAAAGTCTAAGGACTCACTATTTAAGATCATAAGTGGTTGCATACATCGGTAAACTTCTACTTCTTTCCTTATTCTCCTTTTTAATGACCTCATACAAGAACAAATTGAAGCACCCATAATTCTAAAAATTGCCTGATTTCAAATTGAAGAGCGCATTGTCAAAGTTGAACATTACCTAGTTGTTATGTTTATGCAACTTAGACCCCATATGTTCATCAGACAGTTAATCATAGATTTCATGTAAATAACAATGAACTCTTTATTTTGATCCGAGTGTTTACCCATGAGTGAGGTTTCTTGAATACCAGTGTGTTTAATCTTATCATGTCCAAGCTTTCATTTCAATTCTGATATTATATGTTTTAGATCAAAGTATATAGTCAACAACCTCAATCATCCCAAGCATTACAACTCAATCAAGTTTAGCCACTTATGTTGCAATCCTGCAAATAAAGCGCATTAAATGCGATTTACCTATCTCATATGAGATACATAGCATGTCGAAATTTACAATTTGTGAGCACGACAAATTCTTGGTAAAGGATGTCATGATAGGGAGAAAAGGTTGGATACATATGGACATGATAAAATGGTGTAAGCAAGTAGATCTATCCAAAAAGTATACTTAAAAGAGGCCTATACAAGTGGTGCACGAATGCCTTGACAAAACACTGTTCATGGTGTTCGTCGAATTTGCAAGGACAAATCAAAATACTCAATGAATGCAAGAACAAACCTGAGCCAGTTCCTCCAGCAATTGAATGACACAGAACAAAACCCTCAAGACTGTCACTCCCATCTGCTTCTCTATCCACCATGTCCATTATATCTTCCTCAACTTGCTCTCCCTAATAGAAAACATAATGCTAATTACAAACGCAGAAAATTCGAATAAGCATCTCATAAATAATGAAATCAATGACTAGTAAGCAGAATCATAGAAGGATCAAATTTCAGGAGCTTTACAAAATTCACCCAAGAAATCCAGCTCAAATCAGTTAACATAAGGAACAACATATATTCCCAAAGTTCATGTATTTTCTATTTCTTCAATGGAGGGTTACATGATTGTTCAATAAAACGGAGGTGGCCGCCGAGGGGACCAGGGGCCCTAACCGCCTAGGCGAGTGCCTAGACTAGGCCTAGGTCTTGAACACTTGGAGGACGTTTCTTTTTTTCTTCTTCTAATATGGAGAGAGAGAGAGAGAGAGTGAGACAGAGTTTGTGAGAGCGAGAGAGGGACCTCGCATCGAAAACTTGGAGGTCATCTTCTACTTTCTTCTTCTTACATGTAAAGAGCGAGCATATGGATCCATGTGTGTCTTTTTTTGTGTGTGTATGTGTGTGCTTGTGAGAGGCTTGCATCAAACACTTGGAAGCCTTCGTCTTCTTCTTCTATATAGAGAGAGCACATGCCCACAAGAGTGTGAGAGATGGAGAAAAAGAAGGGCCTTATAAAAGGCCTGTAATTATTATTATTATTATTAAGGTGACTTCCTTAAAAAAAACATTAAGGGGGTCACACCTGGTGGGCACCCAGACCTGCCTAGGAGGGCACTTTGGGCATGCCCGCCTAGACCCCCCTGCCTAGGCTAGACCTATGCGAATTGTCGGCCAGGCTGCTGGACGGCTGACTTTTTCAACCATGATTGTTGTGCACAGTTAAATAATAGTTGTGCAATATCAGTGCTAATAGGCCTTGTACGTGAGGCATTGCCACTTGATTGGGAGCATGTTAAACTTCCCCCAATTTACAATACTAACAAGCCATAGTATAACAAGGCAAATAATTAAGCATAACATGTAGCTCTGCATGAGGAATGATATCACAATCAAGTAAAACAGGGTCGTAAGAAACACAAAACGATCAACTTAGCATGGGCATCAATTTCAATCCAGGAGAACACATTTGAAAAGCAGCACGGTATCAGGTAGTTAGAGAGAGCTCAACTAACTTTCTTCTTGTAATTAAGCAGCAATCAGAACATTCTGCCTTTTTGGATTGCTAAGCAATACTTTAAATAAGAAGCTGGACTTTCTTTGCTAACAATCTTGAGGGTTATGTAATTAGCCTGTCTTTCACAACTATTAACTGTCACCCAATTGCTCTACCTACAGTTCAAGGATGTGGAAATCCTCAAGGGTAATGTCATCATTTAAGGCAGTCAGGTCTCCATATCCATGAAATGGGCCTGATTATGTCAATGAGATAACTTTACACATGCTACCGAAACTGTAACATAGGACAGATTTGGAGATTGAACCTTGTGGATTGAGAACTTAATCCAAAAAAATTTAAGATGAGAACATGCATACAGCATTTCGGTTTGCATCTCAAACATCAGATTTCTCACCTGTGTGACAGACGAAGGAAAAAAAAATTATAAAACCTCATGGCTTTTGATCAGGAAGGGTGAGAAGTTTAAAGGTGTTAGTCGTGTTTTAGAGGGAGGGAGGGGGAGAAAACTTATTGAGGAAAAGCAAACTTGTGTCTATAAATCACGCATGTGAATGTTCGAATCTCTGGATAGATCTAATCTAGATTGGCCCAGCTCTAATAGATTACAAAGAAAAGTTTGGGAGAATGAAGAAAAACAAATTTCCCTTTTACACAACTGACAGCCAGATTACTGGATTCCTTCAATATTAAAAGCATGAAAACTTAAAAAATGGGCCTGATTATGGCTATGAGCTAACTTTACACATTCTACCGAAACTGGTAACATATGACAGGTTAGGAGAGTGAACCTTGTGAATTGAGAACTTAATCCAAAAAAATTTAAGATGAGAACATGAATACAGCATTTCAGTTTGTGTCTCAAACATCAGATTTCTCACCTGTGTGACAGACGAAGGAAGAAAAATTATAAAACCTCATGTCTTTTGACCAGGAAGGGTGAGAAGTCTAAAGGTGTTAGTCATGTTTTAGACGGAGGGAGGGGGAGAAAACTTATTGAGGAAAAGCAAACTTGTGTCTATAAATCACACATGTGAATGTTTGAATCTCTGGATAGATCTAATCTAGAGTGGCCCAGCTCTAATCGACTACAAAGAAAAGTTTGGGAGAATGAAGAAAACAAATTTCCGGTTTACACAACTAACAGCCAGATTACTGGATTCCTTCAATATTAAAAGCATGAAAACTTCAAAGTTCAAATTGTGGATTCTCATGATAGCTTGGCTTGTTCTGAGAAAAAGCAGACCTAGGAGGGTTTGGAAGCTCACTTTTAAAGTATGAGACTAAATATATTTACTAGAGAAAGAGCCAAACCCCAAACTGGCTTGCAAATTTTTATAAGAGAAAGAGAGAGAGATATCCTATAAGGAAATGTTAGTTGATACATTCAATGACAGACCTGGATCCTTCACATAACATGCAAAGTTCTTGCTTACCTAGAAAAAACAATAGTAGTTCACTAGTATAAATTTCGGTAATATGGTCCCATAATTCTATGGCATTATGTAGGAGCCACAGATTGGCAAGAACATATACCCATCAAGCAAGCAATCAGGTTGCCTCTTCAATAACTAGCACTCTTAGCAAAAGTACTAGAAAGGAGTCAAACCAATGATGCACACAAACTTCATATTCCTACCAAAATAGAGCTTAAAATGAATACACACACACATATTTATATTAGTTTTTTTTTTTTTTTTTTTTTTTTTTTTTTTTTCGGTGAGCAAATCATGATGGGTCTGCCAACCTCATTTTCAATCGAATTAATTGATAAGGAATTACACTAGAAAAACCATGTGGAGGGAGAAGTTTGATACATCAAGAAGTAAAACAATGAGATGTAATCAGGGGGTCATCCACATCAAATGGAGGCTGCCAAAATTTTCGTTTCTTGTTTCACCAAAACTTATGCCACTGGATTGGCCTCTCAATAAACTTGCTTGACCTTTCCGTCTACCAATCCCTAAGAGTCAATATAGACAGTTCTCTAGCATTGTCAGACAAGACCATGGAGGGTTAAACTCGCAGTGCACAGAATCCACTACAAGAGAAGAATCTTTTTCCAAGGAGTTAAGCTGGCAAAAGAGTTTAAAAAGAAGGTTATTGTGGAAGGCAACTCTCCGAATGTAATAAGGTGGATTAAAAAATAAACGAAGGTGCCATGGTCTTTTAGTAGGTTACTGGTGGTGTTTTAAGGATGTGTGTACTGAGATGGGGTGCTCATTTGTTCATGTGTACAGGGAGAAGAACTCATCGGCAGATGATTTAGCGAAGGTGGAAGCAAATGCTGTTACATTAACCATTGTTTAAGAAAGGTTTGTTTTTCTGTTTTCTTTTAGCAGTAATTATATGTAGGAGGAAATCAATTGTTTTGCATAAGTGGCCTGAAGGCTATTACTGTAATTGTTGCAAACTGTAGTTAGTTTGAGCAATGAAATTTGTTAACTTTTGTCCATAAAATTAAAAGAGAGAGAGAGAGAGAGGAATCTCTTTCCACAATAAGTTCAAACCAAATTTATGCTATGTTTCAAGAACTTCAAACTCGGCCTCATTAATTGTAGTCACACTAAGGAGAGAGCTGAAACATAATCTGGATTGACCCCGAGAGTCCAGAAGCACTCCATCACAACCTGATCTTCCCAGATTACCCTAGTTAGTTGAACAACCAGAACCCAGGGCCATCCATCTGACCATAATCTCAGTCTTTCCAAGTTGATGATTCCACCTTACTCTCAAATTAACAGTGATTTGTTTCTCACTAAAATGGGAACACAAACTTTGTTTATGTGCATATTCTAGAACAAAAGTATTTGTTCTTTTAAATAGCACTTTGCCAGCAGTGACCACACTTCCCTACACCAAATGGCCATAAAAAAAAACATCACTATACAGCCTTGAACCCATTCCATTTAAAAATGGAAAGCTGAAAGATCTCTTTTCTATGACTGAACCCTGCAAGCTGAAGGCCCTGCCACTTCTAAATACAATGGATCAACAAATATGGTAGAATGAAGATTGATCTCTTGTTCAGTTATTGGAAAGTATTTCCATTCCTGGATTATCAGGTTCGTAGTCAAAGCCAGTCGAATGCAAAGTTTAATATCTCCATTTCTATTGAGTAAGATCAACACATTACTTCAGTTTCACCTGTTACTAGGAATTCATAATATGAAAAAAAAATAGGGCCAAGGCAGTCAGGATACACCCCACAAGGCGTGATAAAAAATTCCTGAATAGTTTCTTCAAGGAACACAAACTAGGGCAGGCTGGGAACAGAATTACTTAATAAAGAAGACAGGTCCAAATTAAAATGGACTCACCTATGACCGTTCTTGGGGACAGTTATTGTTAGTAGAGGAAGATGCTAAAAACATTATTGCTTGGGCTTTAAGGAAAGCTACTCCCCCCTGGTATCTTGTGTCTATTTATGACGAGATTGAGCATCTTTGCAGGGATACGTCAGTCTTATGGAAGCATATCTCAAGGACGTCTAACGGGTTCGCGGATCTGATGGCCAAGGACGGAGCCAAGGCCCATGTTGAAGAATATGCCCTTCAGCTTCGGGTGGTTACAGAGCACATGCTTCCTTTCGGGGCGGGGTATTTTTGTGGGCTGGGATTTTTTGTTATTTACTCTTTATTTTTTTGTACAGTTGCAGTACACTGTGTAAGGGGATATTTTTATAACCCATTTTGTATAGGGTCTGATGACCTATACTTTATTACCAGGAGTTCCGTTTACTTAAGGTACTCTTGGATTTACTTTTACCTCATTGTATTTATCCTTTCGATCAATACAAATGTTAACAGTTATCAAAAAAAAAAAATGGACTCACCTAGAGTAAATTCTTTGATCCAAAATGGATCTCATATGATAAGCAAAGATGATGAAAGCTCCACAAATCTGAGATCCTCTTCCACAGTGGGAAAGATGTTAGCTTGAAAAATACCGGATTTCTACCAAAAGAGTCCAACAAAAAACTTGTAGATTAGGTACTCATGGCTAATAGCAATATTGCACGTGTGCAAAAACACAAGCTTCTCAGATGCACAGGGATCCAGGATTTAGAAAGACAATGCCATGCAAGTGATCACGGCTGTACAAAATCCAGACCCAAGGGAATAATTCTCTACCATGTGGACAGAGCATGAACACAAACCATGATAAGATACATAGTTCACAATTTGATGGATAAGGTGTATATGTCGAAAGATTCTAATTGCATCCCATATAATATAGCAATTGCTAGTTTAAGCACCACAACTGCAAACCAACAGATTTATAAGAAGATTCCTACCTCAAGAAAACAAAAAAAAAAAAAAAGAAATTGGAAATTGGAAGATATCACTCACATTGAGGTGATGATTGTTTAAGACTGATTAAATAGGGGGAAAATACAAGAGATGGTTGATTGCCTAGTAAAATTTACCAAAACCTTGTCAGGGCCACCCAGTAACAAGTCAATGATTTATCCAAGAGCTTGCAAAAATGGAACTCCATATGGAACCAAGAGAGACACTGTGAACTTGAGCTAAGCAACATAATGTGGCAAACTGATCATACAATTACAAACCTGATGATACCCACTTGCCCAATTATTTCCAGCACCTCCTCCATGGTCTGAGACATATATGTTCTCATGATTGTAGAGATTCCGATATTCGCTGTTTTGGATACCATTGATAACTCTAGGTTCCAAATCCATCAAAAGTGCTCGAGGTATGTAATGTTCGTCATCAGCTTGATAGAAAAAAACGTCTTTTCTATCACCTCCCTGCAGTAGAGGTACCAAGTTAACCCAAAAACATTCAACTAAGTGACAGGAAGCAAAACTTTACACATAGAGCCCGGGTAACCAACACCTCTGAAATCACTATCCAGGTTTTATTACATTGCTACCCATAACCTTTTGGAACATTGTTTTATGAGGTGGAGAGGGTAGAGTTCCCAAGAAATGCTATTGAACCAAAATTGACAGCTTGCAGTACAGGCATAAATCAGCACAAGCGGTCTATATGAGACAGAATATGGTAAATAAAGCATAATCCACTCTACAACTGACTGTTAAAATAGAAATATAACCAATCGTATCAGGTTACAATGCTTAGTTAATGGATCTGTGTAATTACAACTTCAAACAAAAAACATTGCTGTTCAGATTTTACTATAGACTACTTACAGGAATACATCTTTGAAAAAATAAAGTAATTGTAAATGGGGTATGCTTCCCCTGCCGAATAACCTACAACCATGTTACCAATCAAACTTCAAAAAAATCCCTCATTAACCATACTAGTGATTATATACATCTAAGACTTTCCATTAGTGTGATTCAACTTAAATAGTATTACTGAGAAGCCAGATCACGTAGCCAATGTAAAAACTCCACACATTCAAGTTTATATAAAGAAACCAAAAAAGAATACACAAAATAAAAATATAACATTGATATTCTAAACTTTGATACAAGAGAAGCATTATTTGGAAAACATAGTAAATAGGGAAACCTCAAATTAATACAAAACATTTTCAAATATGTTCCAAAGTTGAAGTAATCCTCGGTAATAAAGGGCAATAACATAAATAGATTTTATTGACAACCAAAACCATAAGATGCTTATGAGTTTAGCCAATACAATTTGAAGGATGTAGGTTCAGTGATCAGAACTCAAAAGAACTTCATTAGTTCTTACAAATCAAAACTACAGTAAATAGTAATCTAGCCATCCTACGCTAATTACTTGTGGCAATATTCTAAATTTTCAATCAATCAAAATGCAGCTTTTGTGTAGTACCTTTTTCTTGCTATCCTAATATAGCTGATCAAAAGATTATGAAGAGAAAACACCAAAAGAAGTATAAAAAGCTCTAACAAATGCCTGTAATATCTGAACCAACTATAGCTAGGCAAAATAACGAATTAAGTAGTAGGCACCCTTACTCTCGTGGTCAACTCCAACATAAAAATCCCTAGATAAATACAAAGATATCCTTGAAAAATACCCAAAAACCCCAGAAACCACGCTCTCACTATTCAAAAAATTAATACCCAACTTAAGATGGTCTTAGATGGTGACTATGAGTTAACAAAACCAAAATTATCAAACTCATAGCCGTAATACAGAACAATAAAATACTGAACAACTCGACTTTAAATTGCAATAATGGTACTCCAAATCTTATAGGTCGTGACTTAATATTTTGAACAAATTGAAGCCTTTCTTATTAGATGATCATGATACTTTTAGATGCGTTGGAGTTATATAAATAAATAGATACAGGTAATTTAAAAAAAAAAAATTACCAGAACAAACATAAAAATAAATAACAAATGCCAGAGATTTAGTAAGATACTGGCCAGATGGAAACAGATGAAACAAGCCCCGTTTTCATTAGCTAGAACATTTTCCCAAATAAATATATTGTGAAGCCCCATTTTGTTTTAAACAAGCATGGAAAACAGGATTAGCAGCTCTATGAATGCCACAAATGCTATCACAATAAGTGGCCAGACTTTCTATGGAAGCAAAGTCAATATACGTTATTAAATGCCAAGTCAAATTCTATTTCATATTATTCTCGACATTTAGGAGGAAAAACGTATGCTACATTAAACTCACTAACATTAAAAAGAAAAAAAGAACAGCAATTGAGAAATGATAATAGAGAAGCTCATATAATAACTAAAACAGAGAAACTGAAACAGCAGTCATATGAGGTCTAGCAAAAACAGGAAAATTTATGGAAGAGAAAGAGAGAGAGAGGAGAGGCCTGTGTGGCAAAGTCTTCGAGAATGCCATCTTTGCTGATGCCGTGCTCGAGGCAGAGCTGCTTCCAGAACTCCATGCCTATTTGGTTCCCGCATTGCCCCACTTGGAGGGTGATGATCTCTCTCGGCATTTCCCCTCTCTCTCTCTCGGGATCGCACACTTTTCCCTCCAACACACGCTCTCACAAGAATCACTCTCCCTCTCTCTTTCTCTCAACTCTCTCTCACTCTGGTTTTGGCGCTACTTTATGCAGTCTATTCCGTGAAGGAAAGTTGTTTCATGCGAGCTGGACCGCATTTCTACAATGCGGTCAAGAAAGTGTAAAGATGGATGCAAGAAGGTGTTCCATCTAAAAACCATGGAAACTAACGGCCTAAATACTTTCTTACTAGAATTATTATTTTTAATTTTTTAAATTTATTTATATTTTCATATTCATCATCTCCATGCTAGAGATTTCATGTCCTTAAAAATTAAATCTTAAAATCCATTTCAAAAATAAATTTATTAAGAGGTCCACATTTCTACAAATGGCCGCATAGAAACCGGGTCCTCTTTAGAAACAACCCATATTTAAGGAATGATCTAGTATCTATGCGGCCAAGCGTATAAATGCGGGCCTATTAAATATATTTTTGAAATGGATTTTTGGACTTAAATGTTAAAGACATGTAATCTCTAACTTAGAGATCATGAATATGAAAAAATAAGTAAATTTTAAAAACTATAAATAATAATTCTAGCAAGAAATCATTTGGACTGTTAGTATTTATTGTTTTTAGATGGAACATCTACTTAGATGGATGCTTTACATTTTTTTGGCTGCATATGTAGTCATGCAGTCCAAGCTGCAGAGACAATTTTCCTTCTTTGAATCTTTAATGAAGATGGGGTGTTTCTAAAGAACAATTGTTTTATGTGGGCTGGACCGTATTTCTACAACATGCGGCTCAGAGGTACAAAGCTTCCATCTTAAAAATAGATGCAAATAGGTGGTCCATCTAAAACCAATTATAACTAACAATCCAAATGTTTTTTTAATTTAATTATTATTTCTAGTTTTCAAAATTTATTTGTTTATTCATATTCATGATCTCCATGTCAAATATTATATATTGGAAAATTGTTTGATGTGGGCTGGACCATATTTCTACATATACGGTTCAGAAAGTATAAACCATCCATCATAAAGATGGATGCACGTAGGTGTTCCTTCTAAAAACAAGGGAAACTAACAATCCAAATGTTTTTTTACTATAATTATTACTTTTAAATTTTAAAATTTATTTATTTATTCATATTCATGATCTCCATATTAGAGATTACATATCCTTAAAATTTAAGTCATAAAATCCATCTCAAAAATAGTTTTATTAAGATGATCGCATTTCATAGAAACCAAGTCTTTATATATTTTCTAAAAACTAAGATAAAATTGCATTTAAAAATATATATTTATTTTCATGCCCGCATTTCTACATGTGTAGACTTAACCGCATCGGTTTCTAAATATGTTACCATTTGGGTTTTAAACACTTTGCTGCGGCCTCCCTTACCGTGCGACACGCGGAGGAGTGACACAGGCAATGCCGTTTACAATACATGTTTGGGAGGTGGTAGTAAATTGTTTGAATTCAAGCCAACTTAAAATAGTATTCAGGTATCATTTTGTATAATAATAATAAGGGAAAATTTTATATAAGATTGCAACTTTAAAATGTAGAATTACATATCTACCTCAAAAATCTATCGGAGAATGTTGTTTCAATGTTGAAAAAGCATCCAATTGATCATCTCGACATTGAGATGTATGAATATATATATAAAAAAAAAGATTATAAGCCCTATAAATAGTGCATCTTGCAACACATAATCTAGACCATCCATTTTCAAGACTTTCATATATTTATGGATCTACTTGATTTTAACCATTTTTAGATTTTTGGTTAATTTTATAATTAGATATGAAAATAGATTTTCAGATAATCCTAAGAATTTTTTACACCAAAATTACATGTTATAATAAAATTTGGAGGTGTACTTTAATTGGATTGTTTAAGGTTGCAACCTTATAGAAAACACACCCTAATAATAAAGCTATCTATTTTTTTATTGGGAAATTATCGCTAATATACCTTCATTTTAATAAATAAATAAATAAATAAAACTTAACTTTTCAAAACCTCGCCTACACCATTTCTCACAAATTTTGTCTTTTTTTGGACCAAAATGACATTCACGGTAGTTTTTTTATTGTAATACATTTTAAGCTTTACGGTAATTAAAACACCATAAAAAATTGAAAAAGTATTATATGTGGGGAAGTCTTTATGGTATTCTTATTACTGTAATACTTTTCCAGTCAATTCCAAACCCCTATTGGTTGAAAAGCTTCAAATCGAAGTTAATATCAAGGCTACCCCTTTCCTTCCGTAGTCTTATTAGGAGTTGTATTTTTTAAAAAATCCATGTTCCTATGGGAGCATGATGTAGACCTACTCCCTCGCTCAAAATTACCTATTTAAGAATGTTTTTGTTCTAAAATTTTGAGAACTATATACAAATTACTAAATTATTTTTGATAATTGAATTATGAGTTATGTGACACTTAAATCTAGCTCTTTGAAAATTTGATTGTTTCTATTCAACCTTGAAGTGTTGGGTTTTTCTAATATACAGAAGAATTTACTTGGAAAAATTCTTTTGCTAAAATTATTCTATTAGTAGTAGAAATTATATCCTAAAAATTTGAGATTTGAAAAATACAGCTAGCATGGATTTTTGTTGATGGAGTAAATAGATAATAGACTCCCGAGAGAGTAGAAAATCTTTGTGTTATTTTAATGAGGTATGGGCAATATTACGGTAATTAAATTACTGTAATACTACTTTAAGTATTACGGTATTTTAATTACCATAATAGTACTTTATGGCATTACGGTATTTTAATTACCGTAATACGCCTTCAACATTACGGTAATTAAATTATCGTAATACTACTTTAAGGTGTTACAGTATTTTAATTACCGTAATACTCCTTCAACTTACTACGTTATTTAAATTGTTTCTTTATGGTAAAAAGATTACCGTGAAGGTTATTTTGTTCCAAAAAAAGCCAAAAATTGTGAGAAAGGGTGTAGGTGAGGTTTTAAAAATTTGGGATTTTTTTTTTCAATTATAGTAAAATATAGGTATATTAACAAATTTTCCCTTTTTATACAATGAAGTCACAACCTTCAACGGCCATCAAATGTGAAATTTGGCAACCTAAAATATATCACAGAATTAAACATTCACAAAAAAAAAAACTTCTTTCTTATTTTGAATCTGGTTAATGGCACATCCTTGATCACTCAATTTTGAATATAACAATCATGATAATTTTTAATGTTCTTGTGCCCAAAATATTTGGTCTCGTTGTATTATTTTCATAATAATTATTCGTATATTGATTTGCATAATATTAAGGCATTATTTTGTGAACTTGTACGAATTAAAAGTTTTCAAATTTTTCATATGTTTTACTAGTTAGAAACAAGGCTCCCATAAATTTTAAATTAATTCTTTAATCAAACGTGGGAATGGGTTGAGGCCGTGGTGGTAACACCGTCTAAGCTTCAACTACCAGTCTAGGTTTTCATTCCCACTCATTCGGAAACCACTAACTATTTCTAAAAAACGGGTAGAGGCTTTTATTCCCCATTGATCTACCAAGAGAAAACTTTAATCAACTAAAAATGCTATAATTTTTTAATATTGCTACAAGTAATCTAAAAAGCATGGTTAGTTGATGTAGTCCCTGATCAAAATCCTTAATTATGGAAACAGAGGAGATAAAATGCTCTATTTGTAAGGAAAAATATATAGAGATACCATTTATTTTTTGAACAAAAACATCAAAGTGGCTCATGTCCATTAGATTTCAAATTAGGTTGTTGAAATAGTATCATCGAACTAGATCCAAAGTCCAAAAAGAATTTTCTTGGACTTCACAACATATCTCAAACCATCTAATTTGACATATATTCTGATGATAATATTAGCCAAATGTCAGCCAAAAAATCTATGGGAGGTTCGCAAGTTTAGTTTGGATGGAACCAATAAAAATGCTTTACAGGACGTATGTCTTTGTGCAGGACGCGTATTTCACCAATCCTTCAATAAAAATGTCTATGTTCCCTCACTACATGTTAGATAAGACCTAAACTAAAAACTGCATCAATTTTTTAAAAATAATTTAATTTTTAATATTTTTATTTTAAAATAGTGATATTATCATACATATTTAAAATTTCTTTTAAATCTGTAAATGCTATTACATCTACTTCACGAAGGATCATAAATACAACACGCTCTTAAGGGAGCACGATGAAACATTATATAAGATTACAAAACGCTAACATTAAATGCTTAAATTTTACCCAAAAGATACTTTTCACTTCTTCCAAAATAACTAATATATTTTTACTAAAAGACAATATGCTCCTTTACCATTTTAATACAGCATATTTTATAAATTTTATAAATTATTGAAATGAACATAGTCAAATTTGATTTTTATATAAAAAATTTTTATTTTGAAAATTAAGATCATATAAATTATACTTTATTTTAATGAGCATAAATTCAAAAACATTGTCAAAGTAAAATAAAGTTATTAAGCTCAATAAAATTAGGGTGCGGCTTGTATATAGCCGAGGCTCTAAACAATCAAAGTAAAGCGCACCTTTAAATAGTGTCAAGAAATGTGGCTTCAATACTGAAAATCTTTGTGATAACTTTAGAATATATTTTTATCTGTAATTATAAAATTTAAAGCTTCAAAAATAGTGTAGATAGAACAGATATATGAAAACTTGCAAAATTTGAAAATTGGAGGTCCAAAAATGCGTTACAAGATGCATTATTTCCAAAACTTGAAATCCATTTTTTTTCTCATGTCCATGCATCTTGATGTCGAGATGAAAACAACCTCGCTTAGTGATAGTTTTGAGGTGGGTTCTAATTTGAGTGTTTGGAGCCAGGCTCTATATAAACTTTTTCCATACAATTATAATTATGTAGTAAATTTATATTTGAATAATACATTGAATTAATTTACAAAGTCATAATTCAATTATAGGTATTTCTAATAACACAGAAGTACATAATCTTTTGTTTAAAATTAATTTGCTATTATTTTTATATACTAACTTGAATAATCAGAATGGCATCAAAGTGTAATT